ACTAGGCACGTTGTAAGGGAGAAAAAGATGGTAAATTACTGCCTTAGCCAAAAATTAGTTGGCTATGCAAATGAAGTTTAGAGCATCTCCAAATAATTGCAGGAGTGGCCTGACCTGGTGGAACCCTCCTTCTTGTGGCAAGAAGTAAGTCATTCAGATGAGGCAGGCTGTATTTAGATGTACAGAAGGATCATCCAGGATCACCTTATTTTGGTTAAATGATATTTTATAATTGCAACTTTTCTGAACATGTATTCATGCAGAAGTTGAGACATGGTGATTACATTACTGGTTGTAGTACAGGATACATAGAAGCAGACTCTAGTTTAGTCTGTATACTTGGCCTGACAAAGAAAATGAGAGGATGGACCTTTGAACTGACACCATTTTTAGACCTTAGGGAAGTACAGAATTTAACTGCCGGTCAACAGGAATTACTTAATTTTGTTTCTAAGCCAGTGGAGCTGGCAGTGCCACCTTTAGTAAGGTATTTCCGAAGCTGGGAAATCATTTATCAATTATGAAGTAAACATTTTTCCTGATCATCAGTGAAAACTTAACCATATAGTGAACTACAGAGCCTTTGATTTAATCAGAATATTTATATTATGCAAAACAGTTTTTATGCTAGAATCTATTCTAGTCTTCTCTTAAAAAAAATCCATAAACTTTAAAGAATGAGTGTGGCACACCTTAAAATTTAGAACTGTTCCTTGCCTCTCCCCAGGTTTCTGACTAACCTACTAAGAAGGTGAAATGAAGATTAATATTATGTAATTGTAGGATACTGGAGTTTGACTTGTAGGCCCAGACTTGAAACATAGCACTGCCTTTATGGAGATCTTTTTGTAGATACTTATTAATGTGCTGAAAATACCTCTTTGTAATGAAGCTCCTTGGTCATTGAAGGGGATGTACTAGGAAAGCTTTCTTGGCGGTCAGGCCTGTTTATCGAAGGCACTCTGTTAAAAGCTTCAGAAACTTCTGTGTGCTTGTTCATCTGCATGGTTCAATGAGGCTTTTCTGGAGCTTCACATAGGACACCCTCAGAGATCGGATTTGGGTCCTCTATTAACAAAGAAGTTCTGGAAGAGCAGTAGGGACAAGGAGCCTGGTCTGGGTGCGCACAGTCAGGTAACCAGGAACATACACCTGGAATGAGAGCTGTCCGCTGTCCACAGCCCTCTCCTTACAGCAACAGCCCTTCTTCTTCCCTCTGCTCTTTTTAATTTCACTCTGGGATAGGAACCATCAGTAATTATTTTGCATTGGTATCTGTTAGAAATGAAAGCACAATGGCTTTAAGTTGTAGCAGCAATGGCTCAGAGTGAAATCTCAGAGGAGGGATGGAAGCAGCCTGTATGCTTTCCCCAGCAGCAGTTATAATACCTGGTACGTGTCAGGTGCTTCTGCTCCTTTCCAGTTTATGTACATGAGTATCAAGCAGACATACACGCTCAGTTCCCACCTATGAAACACATACTGTAATACAAGTATTCACAGGTGTTAGCAGGCACCTGTTGTGTGCCTGGGTTACAGGTTTCTGCCGGCAGCGAGGCTGCTGTCAGACTGGAGCATGGTGTGCTGGTAGCTGTAGTTCTCTGGGTTGTGCCCAGGCACAAAGGGGAGGGCTCTTGCAGTTCGTTGCATCATGCAAATAGAGTGCTGTCAGCCTTCGCTGATGTGTCCTTCTCCGTGGAGACAGAGAATAAATACCAGTAGAGTGTGTAACACTTAGATGTTAAACTGTTGGATAAGTCTAGTATTCTCCTATGCCTCATAACTTGTGAGAAGGAATAAGGCTTTAGTCAAAAGAGCCACATGCAGCAGTCCTCCTTTGAACATCTCTCTCTGGTGTTTCTGTTTAGAGGAAAGTGGAAACAAAGGTATATAAATAAAGGCAATAGTATGAAAATGGATGTTGCAGGAAGAGGGAGACAAAGCAAAAAGCTGCGTGGCCAAGATGCTTGTTTTTAGCTGTGAACAGCCTCTGTAAGGCTAAAGCAGTGAGGCGTCAGTTTACTTAAGGGACTACTTGGTTGAGGGTGAATCAGTTACCTGTGGGTTTCTAACCTAGACCAAAGGTTATTTCCTTCTAGTTGTTATTCAGTGTAAAATTAGACAGTGTCTTCCTTGAGCTAAGGAAGGCACAGGATACTGTCACTTAACAAGGAGCCATGCTGGCGTTGCAACCTACAGGACCTGAGAAGTTGAAGGAGTTTGGTGAACTAAGTTTAAATAGTTACCTTCTTGTTCAGGTCAGCTGCTGGCAGCTAACCTGAGGGTTCTGAGCATTTTTATAAATAAAATGTTTTCTGTAATTCTAGGCCAGTCTTGACTCTTATCAAGAAGGATTCTAAAGGTGAACACTGTCAAGCCTTAGCAGATCTCAGGTTATCACCAGAGGCCCTCCTGCAAAAATGAGGAGATGGTGGTCATCAGATAGCAGCCCTTAGACATGTCAGGAGCTGAGTTCCAAGGTCCCAGTTTTCCCGTGAAATTATAAATCCCTGACAAGAAACCTTGCCTGATACTTTCTGCTCTACTGTAGGCTCTAGTGAGTCAACTGTTGCTGGCATTTAGAGCTTGAGAGGTAAGAGTATGAATGGCCAAATGTTTCATGAATGTTACAGATAGTTTGAGATCTTGCAGGAAGAATCCCGATTCTGCTGCAGCAGGGCAGAACCGTGAAGGTCTCATTCTTGGAACCCTAATCTAAGGCATGGCTCTGGTGGCCATTTCTCTCCTCTCTAGAGATATTTGGGTATATAGTCATTAGAACTAATTCCTACACTGCACAGAGAACCACGCTGATGATCTGCTTTGTTTCCTTTCCTAACAGACCAGTGAGCCTAACACCTTCCATTAGTTCTGGAATGTCTTGCAATAGCTGATACCAGAATACTTTTCCAGCCCCATAAGACACGTGTTTTATTTGACAGCTCTCCTACAACCTCAGGATAGATACTTCTTTGCAGCTTTCTCCAGGGGTCAGGTGGAAATGCCCTCTTGCTTCTTTTCACATTAAAAGCTAATTTGATTTCTAGTGGTATTTAAATGTCAGCATTCTCTTCACTGAGAAAAAGATGTATTTTTTTAATGCTGTATTTTATTGCCCCATCAGCCAGGTTTTGTTGTAGATCTCAGGTACCTTCAACCCTTACAGTGCTTTACTTAGTTAAGTCAAAAGGATAATAACAGGTCATTCTCACCTTTTTTTTTTTTTTTTTTTGTAGTGGGAAGTGTCGATACTAAAATCTTGTCTTTTTTTAGAGTGCTGCATCATTAAAACACCTGGCTAATCCTGACTTCCTTTTGCATCCCTCCCACAGCAGAAAATCAGTAATCTCTGTCTAGCAGAGGTAAAGGCAGGGAAAGAAAGTAGAGTACTTTTGATGAGGAGGTAAAATATCCAAGGGATAATTTGATAATGCATCTAATGTTGAATTGCTTGTGTTGTTAGTTCCCAAATTAAATTTTAATTTGTAATGGGAACAGTACAGCGCTAGGAGGTGCAGTATGAATATAGCCTAGGAACTTTCAACCATATTAGATGTCCAGCTTTCTTTTTATCAAGTCATTCAGAAAGCAGCACTCTTCTCTATAAAATGCTCTGTAATTTGCAGTACTCTTATTCAGCAGCCTTTCTTGGATGATGTTCCTAAAGCATTACTTAAAATAAGCATTTACTGCTATTAAGTGAGATATTTTGAATAGAAGTTAGGAATGTATGTAGTCATTAAAAATTATATGATATTTTCTGTGTGAGCAGGGCTAGTAGCCCCTT